AACCACAAGCGGTCTGGAGCCTCAGAGGTGAATGGGTCGTCTGGCCTGGCCTGTACAGGCCGGCCTGGTGTTATCCAGTCCAGGGTGTGTCAGACCCAATAGGTGTGCTGGGAGGAGACACCCAGGTCACCTCTGCGGGAGCAGGTCACCATGGGATTATCCAGAAGAGACAGGTTTTCTTTTTCTTTTTTTAAAAAATCAATTATTTATTTTTTGTGGGAAGATTATTAGGTCTATTCATTTATTAGTTTTTTTTAATGGAGGTACTGGGGACCTAGTGCCCACTAAGCATATGCTCTACCACTTGAGCTACACCCTCCCCCAGGAGACAGGTTTTCATAAATCATTTTAGGAAGGGTTGATTCGGACCTTGGAAGGGAGAACTGTAGACCTGAACCCTCAGCCTGGAAGGGTGGGACAGAAGCATTCTACAATTGATGAGGGCGTAGAACAGGTTTCCATGTAGGGAGAAGACCCTCGTGCAGGCACGGCCATCCAGGCGGAGCCGGCAGAAAGCTGGTGACAGAACACGGTGCAGCCCAGATCCTGAAATGTAGTGGCGTCACCTCTCAAGGACATAAGTCCCCAAGATAGTGTCCTGTGAACCAGGTGAATTAGAAATTGACACCAACTTGCAACGGAGGCTGTTCAGATTATACATTAAAAGCATGTGCTTTGCTCAGACCGACCTGATGGCCATTCATTAGCTGGGACCTTCAGGTGAGCTACCCAACTCTTCAAGCCTCACTTCCCTCACCTGTGACAGAGGGTGGTACCGGTACCCACCTATCTTGAACTGTTTTGTGATGATGAAATGAGATCACTTCATGATACTGCTGACTGAAGGAAAACGCACAACCTAGAAGCTAAGAGTTATGTTTTATTCGGGGACTTTACTGAGACGATAGCCTGGGAGACAGCCTCTCAGGTAGCTCTGAGGAACTGTCCCCAAATGGTAAGGGAGGGGCAGGATCTGTAGGAGTTTTTGCTGAAAAACAAAAGTAAAAAAACATGTAGTTGAACATCAAAAGATTACTGCTCATCAGAAAAAACAGACATCTCAAGCTTACGTAGTGCCATTCGGTGTGTGGGAAGATGCAAGAGTCTGGGCTCATTGAAATTATTTCTTAGACATGTATCTTAACTGTCTAGGGCCAGTATCCTGTTTTTCTCCACCCTGAATTCCCCTGAGGTTGTGCTATGGGATGGGGTGTACTGGGATTGGGGGGGTGCGGCACTGCAGTGGCTAATGGCTTGATGGTGGGCAACATTCATTGCTTACTGAAATAGCAAGCAACTTTCTCTTGTTGTCTGCAATACATGTAAAGCATTTTAGCACAGGGTGCCGGCACATAGTATGTCTCCATCCGTGTAATCTACTGTAACTACTGTTTTCAGGTCTTGCTACTGAGAAAGCTTATATGAGCAAATATTAAATAAACTTTAAAAATGGACTGTGTAAGGGAGCTTCTCAACTTAGTTAAAAATATTTTGCTGCCTGGGAAGAGGGAGAGAATTAAGAAATCAGAAATATAAAATAGGATTTCAAATGCTTCCACCTTACTAGAAATCAAGACGTTCTTCTAAATGGCTCTGTCTCCCTCAACTCCAGAATTTGGAGAACTGATGAAAAACTTTGAACCTTACTTTTTTTTTTGATTACAGTAAAAGTACTGTGAAATGCATCTAACTCTTGTTTCTTCTTGCCTGTGCTGTGGTCTTAGTGCCAGGGTCACTGCTGTGCAGTGACAGGCCATCCATCCTCCTGCTGCCTTAGGGAATTACATTGCATTGAATAGGTGACATGTTTTAATCATTCTGAGCCAAGGATATTAGGGTATTAAGATACAATATAGGATTTCAGGAAATTGCCAGCGTGTTACCCCTTAGTTTTAAATGTGAATTGCAGTTGGATCTTCCTAGTGGGGCCTTTCCCTAGTTAAAGGAATCAAATACTCTTAACCAAAGGGAATCTTTAGCAAAGTGTGATTTTTAAACAAAACCCAGGATTTGGATTCAGAGGCTTTGCATGCAAAACTTGCCAACTGTCTAGAACATAGACTTCTGGAGCTTCAAGTTCTTCATCCAAAAAAGGTGATAATAATAAGGGTAATCATCTCATAAGAGTTCTGTAAGGATCAAATAAAGTGTGTACCGTGTTCTTTGTAAACTGCAAAGTGTGATACAAAATGTTAGCTACTTGTTTCTTTTATTCCTTCTGGTGGAAGGAGCACAGACTAGAAGTCAAGAGTCCAGATTCTGGTCTCTGATCTGCCCTTTCCGAGACTTTTGACCTCAAGCAAGTAACTTAATCTCTCAAAGGCGCAGTTTTGTCATCTAGGAAAGATTCTAGGATTATGAATCCTTTCAGAGGAAACAAGTTAGATTCCACTCTAACTTGGAGAGGATGAAAAAAGAAATCAGTCCTCTCCAAAGGGCTAGGAGAGATGAGACATTGCTCCTCCCAGGGTGACCGGGATACATGCCTCTGGGACGCGAAGGAAGAAAACAGGGAGCCCTGAAGCTCAACCACTGATTTCTGGGATGTGGCAAGAGAGGTCTGATGGTGAGCAGTAATCTGAGACAGCTGTGCAGCCAGTACTGACCTAGATGTCTAACCCAACAAAAAAAAAAGGAAGAAAATGGCACCAGTCCATCATACGATCAGTCATTGTCCCATGAATAGCAGCACAGTCAGCTGTGACATCCAACACTACAACAGCGACTGGCCAGCCCTGCAGACACACTTGTGTGATGCCTACACACACGCGTAATGTGAAAGCATTGACTCTTGGTACCAAAGGAAACAGAACTGGGAGGGTGGTAAGATGGCCACTCTGGGGTCAGGTGGACCAGGCAGCTCTCCTGATGTTGCTCAGAGATTTGATGGAAGAGCCACGGAAACCGTGGGAGTAACTGGTTTCAGGACTAATGTCGCTGAAATTCCTACACTAGGGCCCGTATTATCCCATATATCTGCCTCCATGTGTTGACAGACCAAAATCGTTTTCCAGGATCCCTAGAAAATCTCAAATAAGCTCAAGAAAAATAAGAATCAGAGACATCTCCAGGTTCTCAAAGAAGGTCTCGAGTCAGAAGATGTGAAGTTGGAGCAAGAGGAATAGATTGAAAAGGAGGATCTTGTGACTCCAGGAGCAGTTGACACTTGGTGAAATCACCCTCCAGGATGGACAGTAGGATACGGTGGAAGTGAGAGAGCAGTGGGTGGTCAGAGAAGGGCTGAAGGTCATCTGTTTCATGACTGTCTGGTTCCTACCAGGCAGCATGTGGAATCCAGCCAGGAAAGCTCCTCTGCATAGACTCCCGTCCTCACCAGTCAGGGGCTCCTTGGCTCCTTCCCCATGGCCAGAGCTAAAAACTCTCCCCGCTAAGTTTCTCTGCAAGCTCCTATTCTCAACATGTCCAAGAGTCTCTGGTTTATATAAAGACCTACGTGACCCGAAAAGGTCGTCTCTGAGATCTGACAAACAGAAACACCACACCTTTTAAACTCTTCTTTGTAGTGTTTTACTGTTGGCCATGCATTTAACTTCCTAAGCCTTGTTATCCTCAGCTTCAGAATGGAGATGGTAAGAGCACCATCCTCACAAAGCTGTTGTGAGAAATAAGTGAGATAATGAACTTACAGCTCTTAGAACAAAGAGCTCTTAGCTGGCACAGAGAGCCTCATAAACCTTCCAATGGCTGTTGGCTATTGCCCAAGTTCCCCTAGCAGTCAAGTGGCAGGAAATTGTAGCCTCCCTAATGGGTAAGGAAATAGGGAAGTGATCAGTTCATGTAACTGCAAAGTCCAAGGCAGTTGTGGCTTCAGGTACAGCTTGAACCAGGGACTCCAGCAATGATACCAGGACCTAGTTTCTTTCTCTCCAGCTCTCAGCCCCTCTTCCTCTTGAGTTGCCTCCACTTTTAGACAGGTTGCCTCTCCCACAGCAGCAAGATGATTTTACCAGCAGCAGACTGTACATCATCATAGAATCCATGCAGTATGGTAGGGCTTCCACTCTCCCCAAAGCTCCAGGAAAGGTGTCCTCACACCTCCCCAGCTATGGCTGGGTTCCAGCAGGTTCTCCAAGCCAATCACTGATGCCATGGAACGTGCTGTCTATATTGCTGCAGGGCCCACCTCTGGGATTGGGGGCAGGGTCCACACCACCCAAACCCCGCAGCCTGAGAAGGCTGGGAAGCTGGCTGCTCACAAGGGTCCTTGGTGGTGCCAGGAGGAAAGAGGTGGCCACTGAGTGGAAAATGACGGTGAACCCACAGCCCCCACCTAACTGAAGGAGCAAGGGGATTTAACTTCCTTTGGCTACTGACTGGCAGATTAGGGAGGGATGTGTTTCCACTTAGCACGGGGTTGTGGTGAGCGAACGGAAGCCTCAAAGAGCCATTTACAGACTATTATTTCTAAGTGTTAACAGGATGGTCTAGTTCCAAGAGCTGTCAGGACATTAATTTTAGTCTGCAGAATTCAAAGATCGCAGTGAACTTCAATAGCATTTTTGATAGAACTGCCAATGAATACAAATAAACCGAACCATGGAAGTCAAGCTCATCTAAGGCTGTTTACTACTATTGTCACGGGAAATTGTGGGAAAGTGTACATTCCTTAAGAATGGAGTAAACTTCCTCACCCTCATCCTAGACTCCCCATCAGTCGGGCCTTTCCTGTTGTGGCAAATGTGACCACGCCCATCTCGCTTCTGACCACGTGAGATGGGTGTGCACTTTACACACATGCTCTTGTTACACCTGACAGTTTCCCATGGGTCACAGAGGAGGGCTCCGAGGCTTAGGGAAGGCCAGGCTGCCTAACCAGCACCCATCTGACTGCCCCCATCCTTGTCCCTGCCTGCGTGGGGTCCACACACCCCCCAGAGGTGTTGGTAGACTTCAAACACCCAGAGGCAGGGATAAGATGTGTAACATCCTCCCGGCACTGGGACCCCTCTGATGAGAGCTCCTTGGCGCTGTGTCCACAGGTGACTGCTGGCTGCTGGCGGCCATAGCCTCCCTCACCTTGAATGAGGAAATCCTGGCTCGAGTCGTCCCCCTGGACCAGAGCTTCCAGGAGAACTATGCGGGGATCTTCCACTTCCAGGTAACTTAGAGGTTGGCTCAAGCTTCTTAGCAGCTAGGAACAATGCTCTTCTACCAAGGACATTGGGAGATACAGGGAGCTGCCTGGCCCGCTGCTGATGTGGGGCCCTGTCAGGACAGCAGTGGGGAGGATGGAGGCAGAGCACTACTCAAAGTAATTCCCAAGTTTAAAAAACAGTTTATTATTTGGGGTCTGAGACAAAATGTTAAGGTACTTTCACTCTTCTCCTTTTATACTGGTAAATGAGAAGCAGTATTTTAAAAAGCGTAAGGTGCGGGAGTGCTGGAGAGGCAGGCATGGCCTCTGTGCTGGTTTCTGAGCGAGGATGTACCTGCAGGAGGGGGTGGGAGGGAGGGACCTCCTCCAGGATGGGCTTGTGGAACCTGTGCCACGGGGTGTGGGCAGGAAGGAGCCAGATGCAGCTGAGGCTCGGGTCCCCATGCTGCCCCCGGCTCCTCCTCCAGGCCCCCCTTTCCCGCCCTTGCCCCGCAGTTCTGGCAGTACGGCGAGTGGGTGGAGGTGGTGGTGGACGACAGGCTGCCCACCAAGGACGGGGAGCTGCTGTTCGTGCACTCGGCCGAGGGGAGTGAGTTCTGGAGCGCGCTGCTGGAGAAGGCCTACGCCAAGTAAGTGCCCACACCCTTCCCTTGGGCAGCTGGCCCCCAGCCGGCTTGGATTCTGGGGAAAAAACAGGAACTGTTCAAGGACTACTTTGAGTAGAAGTCCTATTCTATAAAAGGACTACTTTGGCCAAAATTGGGCTCTAAATTCAAGGAGATACTGCATGCAGAGTGCCTGGCCCCATTAGGCCCTGATAAATGACAACTCTTGCCATTTTTAATCAAACACACAGGAACAAGCCACGGTACTGATCGTGCTGGCCTTGAGAAGGACTCTACTTCCTTGGCAGGTCCTTAGCAGATCATGTTACATTCTTGTCAGCTAACTACAGCAAAGAGCTTCTGCCAATGGGCAAAACTATCCATTGCAGAGATACGAAAATTATGGAAACTTGCCCAGAATATGTGGTGTCGCTGCTTAGAAATGGTGTCCCCTAGCCCTCCCAGCTGCCTAGAGTCGAGCTTGTCCTGCGCTCAGCACTGCCATTCTCAGCAGGACACCCATAGCAGCCCTGATCCAGAAGGGCCTTGTCCTGGCCGGGCTGCCTGGGTGTCCTCTGGGAAAATGACCAGCTCAGGCACCAGGAGGATGTCTGGTCCTGCCAGCCCCTGCCAGCCCCTGCCAGCCCCTGCCAGGGAGGAGGGCCGGGATTCACACACCCAGCTGTGAGACTCTGGGGCCCGAGAGCCGCTTCTAAGTCTCACACTTAAATAGTAGTGTCAGGAGCGACCAGCCCCTCCTAATACAGTGCCTGCAGCAGGGAAGCTGCTCTCATTACTGAACTGTTGTCTTCTTTTAAGCTATAGATGCCAAACAGCCAATTAGCAGACCTCCCCTTTCCTGTTGGGATGTAGAAAGAATCAATATGGGAGGTTGGACCAGACAAATCACCCAGGTCCTTCCAACTCTCAGGTTCTGTGAGATTTTCCAAAACCTTCACAAAGTACCGGGGCAGTGGTAACTGTGGGGACAGTCCATTGCCCTCATGGGCTCCCTGAGTTGGAGACAAACCAAGAAACTAAGCAGAGGGTCCCTGGAGCATCCAACGAAGGAGGCATGGGGCGGGGGGGGGGGGCACTTTCAGAAGCAGAAGTGTCCGCACCGGCTGGGGTGGCAGCTGCATCTTCTCCTTCCTGTAGGATCAATGGGTGTTACGAAGCACTCTCGGGGGGTGCCACCACCGAGGGCTTTGAGGACTTCACCGGAGGCATCGCTGAGTGGTATGAGTTAAGGAAGGCCCCACCCAACCTGTTCAGGATCATCCAGAAGGCTCTGCAGAAGGGCTCTCTCCTTGGCTGCTCCATCGATGTAAGTCCAGGCCTCCATGACCCCAACCTCCATCTGCTCCAGCGAAAGTGAGCCTCCACCAGTGCCTGAGAACCCGCCGCCCTTGTTTCCCACTCCGTTAGTCCATCCTTTGCCCACAGTGCTGTGCATCACCTGGAACCCAGGGGTGGCAGGGCAGCAGCCAGGCTATCTGGGGTGGAGGTGGAGGGTGACGGTGACTCCATCCCTTCCCTCTCCAGCCCACTTACAACCCTCAGCCTCCTGTGAATCCCCACTCCAGACCCCAGGGTCCCTGAGGGCCTCTGCTCCAGACATCTTCTGTCACATCGGCAGGGCCTGTGCCTGGAGCCCAACAGCCTTCCCCTTCGCTGCTGCAGGGTTGATGGGCCCGTAGGAAGACTTCAGAAGGCCGGGGACGGAACCATCCCCTCATACTAGCCTTGCAGGCAAATCTCACCAGAGGAAGGGAGGTGGGCCTGATGTCCCATCCCTGAGGAGCCTCCAGGCAAAGGTTGGGCCCAACATCTGAGCCCTGTCCTATCCAGGAACTGGTCCCCATGGGGACAGAGTTACTAAGTCTGGCTCCTGGACCCCAAGTCTCTGTCCGACTCCAGGCAGGGAATCTCAGATATTCTCTGCAGACTGTGTTGAGGAAAAGACCCTTTCTACACATTTACTGAGACAAAAATAACAACCTCCATCAGATTAGATGGGGAAAGGAATGACTGGGGAAGTTCTAACAAAGCTGGGCTGGGCCAGCTTCAGGGAGCTCAGCGCCCTGGGCCGCTGGACACTGTCCAGGTGTGTCCTGAGCCGCCTGGGTGCCCAGCAGCCCCCTCTCTGTGGTATGCCCTTTCCTGGAGAAGTTTGTGTCTGCGCGGCACACACGTGAGCCCAGCGCTGCTCTCCTGAAGGGCTGCCTTCAGCCTTTTGTCTGATTGTAAGTGGGCAGTGAGCGCCTGAAAGCAGCTATGGGAGGTCCTCCGGGTGCCAGCAGGAACGCCGTCCATACTCCTGACCCAGGCCAGGGCCCCGCTGTAGGACCCGAGAGAGCGCGGGAGGGAGGAGGCAGGATGCGTGCCCCGCTGATTCTTCCCGCCCTTCCAGATCACCAGCGCTGCGGACTCGGAGGCCGTCACGTTCCAGAAGCTGGTGAAGGGGCACGCGTACTCGGTCACCGGAGCCGAGGAGGTAACGCCCGGCAGGCATCTTCAGGGGTCTTTCTCTCCTGCACACGGTGGCCCGGGGAGCACATTTTTGCCTAGCTGCCTAGGGTGGGGCCCTCATGTTCCCCGGCAGGCCCCGCATTCCTGAAGTTCATTGCCAGCGACTGGCCGGCGCTCCCGGAGCCGCCGCCGCACACTGCCCTCTGCTGGCCGCCGGCTCGGCCCCAGGCGCTCTGTTCCACTCGGCTGTAGAATTGCCTCACTCTTCAGGGCCAGCTGGGAACAGCGGAACAACACTCTGCATCTGTGTAGTGCTTTATCCTTTCATATTTGAGCTCACAAAAGCATTACAGTGCACCAATTAGTGTTCAAATCTAACTGTTCCTCTTGTCAGCTGTGTGGCCTGGGCAGTTATTTAACCTCTCTGCCCCTTAGTTTCCTCAAATTCAAATTAGAAACAATAAGAATATCCATTGTAAGGTTGTTATGGTGATTCAAACAAGTTACTATATGAAAAGCGCTCAGACTGCACCCGACACGCTGTTCAAGCAGGCAGGTCCTTGACGCTGCTGTTACTATTATTACTATGAATATTATTAAGCAGCTACTTTCGCTGTTACTTACAAAACCCAGAGGAGACCTCAGGTCTTCGGACATGTCCAGTGTTCTTTTTTTTAACCTTGAATCCTTGTTTTATTCAACACCCCCCATACATCTTTTTATTCTGAAAAATTTCAAGTCTACAGAAAAGTGGAAAGAATAGTATAGTAAACATCCAACTACTATTTCCCTAGATTCAGCAGTGCTTAAGATTTTCCACGTCTGTTTTGTCTGTTTTGTCTTTTTTCCTGAGCAATTTGGAAGTAAATTGCAAATGTCATGATACTTCACTCCTAAATACTTCAGCATTTATCTCCTACCCATAAGGACACTCTCTTACTTAATCCCAGTACTGTCTTCATGCTGAAGAAATAAACAGTTCAATAATGTGATCTAATATGAAGTCCACATTAGCATCTTCCCGGTTGCTCCAAATGTCCTTTATATCACTCCCTCCTCTCCCCAGTCCAGGATTCAGTTGAGACTCATGCACTGTATTTGCTTATTGTTACCAGTGTTTATCTTCATAACAAAAGCACATCCTGTTACAGTCAGTTAACCTGAGGTTCGGAGGTAAAGAGCCAATGCAGAGTCTGGAACAAGCGCATTTGTGCCTCAGGCTTAGGACAGAGGTTAAAGAGCCCCGGTCTTCCAAGGCCCAGATCCTGGGAGCTGCCAAAGCTGAGCAGCTTTGAGAGTCTGGGGTCAAGTGCTTCTCCCTTTGGTGATCCCTCTTATAACATGGATTTGACACCCTCCACCCCCGGCTTATGGAGAAGGGGGCTTTGCACCAGAGAACCTTCAGGCCTGGCTTAAACTCAGCATCTCCCTCCTCTCCTTCGCCCACCCCTTCTTCAGGTTGAAAGTAGAGGCAGCCTGCAGAAGCTGATCCGCATCCGGAACCCCTGGGGAGAGGTCGAGTGGACCGGGCAGTGGAACGACAAGTGAGGAGGGTGGGGCTGGCGCCTGGGCTGGGGCGCTCTGCCTGGGAGGCTCCGGGGAAGTGAGGAGAGAGGGCACGGAGGCTGCGCTGAGGAGTAAACCTGAGAGCATAGGCCGCCCCAAGTGGGAGCAGGTGGCCCTGCTACAGACTCTTAACCAGTGCGCTCCAGCCATCTGGGTGCCGTTCCCAGACCCGGGGCTCCTGAGATGCTCTTCCTTTCATCGCCCCATGGTTCATCCCTTCCTTCGCTCAGAGTCCCTCTGCTATTGGACCTCAGGGGAACAATACACCCTTCCTCCCCTGGACACTCCTTCTGTTCCAAGGGTGTAAACTTTGTGCCTGAGACCGGAGAGAAGTCCCTCTGTTGATGTCCAGGGCTTCTGAATGGGTCTTCCTAGGGCTCCTCTCATGGTCTTCCTCTGCTCCTGTCCTCCATCCTCCTGCACAGCCTGGCACCCACATCCTTCCACCCTTTCCGTGGCCAACTCCCAGGCAGCCTCTGCCATGACAGAGAGAGCAGCCAGGGCCTCCAGGTCAGCTGCAGAGACCAAGAGGAGTGGGCCCCCAGCAGATCTCAATCAGCTCTTTAAAGAGCTGCCAGGCCTATCTCAGTCCGGGCCACTGATGCTGCCCCATGTCTCTCTGATGGGCTGTGTTCATTCCTGGCTCTCTGGCCACTGTCTTCCAGGATAACGTATCCTCTCACCTTGCTCCCTGCATCTCTTAGGCACAGGTGCATTGCTTCCCTCCCTGGCTGGGGTCTGGGCCCTCCGATGAGAGAGCGTGTCCTCAGTCCTGGATTTGGGGGCATCTTGGGGAGAAGTCCTCCCCTACACTAGTTTCTAATGCCTCTCCCATTGCTTGGTTTTCCAGCTGCCCAAACTGGAACACTGTCGACCCGGAGGTGAGGGAAACGCTGACGAGACGGCACGAAGACGGGGAGTTCTGGTAAGGTTGTTGGAGGCTTCAGGGAAAGAGGTGTCTGCCCCGGTGATCTTTACTAGAAAATTAGTGAGATTATCATGTTGAGGGTGCAGGGGCATGGGATCCTGGTTTTGCTGTTGTCTTAAATTCACTGTAAGACCCTGAACAGAAAAAGTTCTTGAACCCCTTCAATTTGTCTATCTCAACAATGGGGTTTCAAAGCCAAGCAGCTTCACAGAGAAGGCTAAGAGGAACCTGGCAGTCATGTTCAGATCCCAGAAGAAAACAAGGGAAAGAAGGGCCTTCCTCCTAACCCGTTCTTAGAGTCATCCCAACGCCTCAAGAACCCAGTCCGTTAGAGAGCAGTGACGGGCCTACGCGGGTGCGTCTGTGCCGCTCTGGGAGCCCCTGCGTCTGTACACGGCTGGCATTTTACCAGATGAGGTCCTTTCTGTTGCCTTGCTTGATACACATGGCTCCTGTCTTTACAAATGAGAGTTCTGAGCTGCAGGGAGTAACTTGCTCAAAGTCATGCAGCTAGAAGGTGGCAGCGCCAGGGCTGGAATCAGTGCCTTCCAATTGCCAACCTGGTGGCCACGTGGCCGCGAGGTGCTGTCTCCTAGCTGCTCTGCCCGGCCTCGACCGGCTCCTGGTCTAGCCTTGGGTGAAAGGCCCAGGCTCATCGGCGTGTCCTCTGCTAACCCGGGTGCCGGGTCCCTGCTTTTGCCAGGATGTCTTTCAGCGATTTCCTGAGGCACTATTCCCGCCTGGAGATCTGTAACCTGACCCCCGACACGCTCACCAGTGACACCTATAAGAAGTGGAAACTCAGCAAGATGGACGGGAACTGGAGGCGGGGCTCCACCGCGGGCGGCTGCAGAAACTACCCGAGTACGGCCCCGCCCCACCCTGCTGTGCTGCACCCCAGCCCAGCTGCTTCTGCCTGCTGGGGCCCTCTGCCTCCTCTCCCTGAGTCTCCATCTCAACCCCCTTCTGAGTCCCCTGGCCCCTTCTCTTCTGCACTCACCTGCTTTCCTACCTGGGCAGAACCCAAGATGTGCTGTTTCTGTGATGTCCCTTCTAGACCCCAGATTCACTGATGCTGCGGTATCTGCCACACCCACTGAGGCAGTGCTGATCCCACTTTGTGCCCATGGGCTGCTTTATCCCCCTGAAGCCCAGGCAGGCTACCCAGCAGGGAGACCTCACCCTCTCGGCCTCTGCACATCCAGGCCCTCCCTGGTGGTTGCCTGGCAACCCTCTTGTGCTCCGTTCACTCAGCAAATGTTGACAGGGCCCTGCTCAGATGGGGGTGAGGATTTCTACTCTGGTTTATCCTTTGTTGATTCCCCCTGACTCTTCTGCCTTGGTGGCCCAGTCCTCCCCTGCCCTCTCCTCCTCAGAAATTATCTCCTCATGATGACATGGGCCAACTATGGATCATACATTGGGCACTAGGAGCTGGGCTAAGTGATTCATTAATATATTACTCCACTTAATCTTCACAAAAGACTTCTGGGGCAGGCACTTTATTATCATCTCCATCTTTACGATGAGGCGACTAAGGCTTGGAGAGGTTAAGTGACTTGCCCAAGGCAAGTCCCTGGGATGTGATCCAGGCAGCTGACTGTGGAATCAGTCTTTCAGTATTACAGTGAAAAGTCATGGTCGTATATTGATTCTCTGTTACCAATGAGGAGACTGAGGCTCTAAGTGGCACACCTGGGCCACACAGCAAGTAGGCAGACTGGGGCTAGCTGACTGGTACCTCCAGCTCTGGTGCTTTTAATCCTTCACCTCAAGTGTGCAGCAACCAAGCAAGTTCCAGAGGTGCTGGGGTGGTGCTCTGCCTCAGACACGACTGTTTCCCCTCCCCATTCGATCAGGGGTCTGCAAACTCTTTCTTAAGGGCCAGATAGTAACACTTTGGGCTCCGTGGGCCATTCAGTCTCTATGGCAACTATGCAACTCTTGCTGTAGCTGAAGGCAGCCTTGCTTAGATGAATGCACGTGACTGTGTTCTAATAAAACTTCATGTGTAAGTACAGGGAGCCAGCAGCCCATAGAGCCATCGTTTGCTAACCCCTGTTCTAGGTGATGCCTTTATTCCCACAATTAGAATGTTACCCCATTAATTAGCCTTAAACATGAATGAATCTCAGCTTCATCCTGTAAACAGGTTTTGAAAGTGGGGAGGGTAGAGACACCTGGGAGCGGGCAAGGGGACAGGCCCAAAAGGACAAGGACACAGAACAAGAGGTTGAAATTGTAAACAGGATATTCCTGGCCCCCGGGTTCACTGAGAAGGGTGCGGAGCTAGTCTCCAGTTGCCCTGTCCAGGCCGGCTGGCCCATCTCTGAACCCACATTAGAGCCTGCTGGGAGAGGGTACCATGATAAGACACTGCAGCCAAGCCAAAGGGGACCTGCCTCTCAGCTCCAGCCCCCTGTTCCCGGGTGAGAAGTGCCCCCGAGCCCAGCCAGCCTGAGGGCAGGTGGGAGAGAACTGAACATGGGCCAAGGGGAGTTTCAAATCTCGGTTCCCCTGAGATTCAGACAAGCCCATAGCCCTCCGCTGTTCCTTGCCTGTTCCCCTCCTGACAGGCTGCTAACTAGTCCTGGTCTTTGGCTCCTCTGTGCCGCAGCCTCTCACCACTCCATCTTCCCCACTTCATCCCTCCCCGGCAGCCTCCAGCCCCTGAGACCAGGGCCGCCTCAGCGCCTCCTCCCTGTGCACACCCGCTCTCGGGCTGGGCTCCTGCGTCCTGGGTGACTGACCCTGGCCCTTCTCTGGCTGCAGATACTTTCTGGATGAACCCTCAGTACGTTATCAAGCTGGAGGAGGAGGACGAGGACCAGGAGGATGGGGAGAGCGGCTGCACCTTCCTGGTGGGCCTCATCCAGAAGCACCGGCGGCGGCAGAGGAAGATGGGCGAGGACATGCACACCATTGGCTTTGGCATCTACGAGGTACCGGAGGGCAGCCACAGGGCATGGACTCCACCTTCCCGTCCTCCGTGGCTCCTCTCAGCACCTCAAGGAAGGCCAACCCCAGAGGCAGACCCAGAGACAGGACCCCACACCGGGAGCTTGGCTAAGGAAAAGCAAAGCCACAGGCCAGGCCAGTCTTAGAAGTCATGCAAGGAGGTCCCTGCTGCTGGCTTGTGTCACCACGAGCGCCCTGCCTCCCCTGCAGCCAGCTGCCTGGGAGTCCTACTCTTTCTAATGGCCTCCACATCCCTTCTCATGTCCCCCAGACCCAGCACCCTGGTTAGCCACCAGTCTCCAAAGAACAGAAGAGACTTAAGCTGAGTACAGAGTATACTGGACCACCTCAGGAGCCACTGTGAGGGCAGGAACTGGGGCAACAGGTCCAGCTGGTCAGAGCTCAGCACAGTGGCTGGTCTGGATGGTGGAGCGCTCAGGGCAACGGAACGGTTGGTCATAGGCTCCCCCCAGGGCTCTGTAGGCTGGAGCCCCGCTCCCCATACAGACACTCACTGCCCACAAATCCTTTCAGTCTGAACCAAATGAAAGAAAAGCCCAGCTCAGCCGCAGTCAGGGGGCAGCCACATTACTACCACGTCTACCCCCGGGGGCTGCAACATGCGGGGCCCGGCACCCTCCCCACTCCCACAGCACAGCGAAGAGCCGCTCCTGGCCTGGGCTGAGCAGTGGGAGAAGCCACTGAAGTGGGGTGCACTTTGCTGTGACAGGGGAGCCCCAGTGCTGTACTAGAGTTAGCCCACTCTTCCCAGCCCCACGTTCAGTAAGGACACATTGACAGCCTGAAAATGACCATGGTAGAGAGGGAGCAGTATTTACACCATGGAAATTAGCAAATACTACAGATCAGGGCTCCCACCAGATCCCAAGAGCTGGGTTCCCAGCATACCACATAGGAGTCAGACCCAATGGCAGGGGAGAAGGCTCTCTGTGCTCACTCATCAGGGCAACATGGCTGCCACCCATGGGCCAACCATCTACCTGTTCACCCACCCAGAAGTGGAGCACTCCCCCAAATGCACATGAGTCCAAGCTCCTCAGTCTCTGAAACAGGAGCTGAGGACTTCGGATCTGGAACAGCGTAGCTGCAAGGATTATGCAGACTGAATTGTGACACAGCCCACCACTCCCACCACTTCACAGGCTTGGAAATCCACCCAGGAGCTTTCAGAGCTGGTTTGGTCCCATTTTAGAGACAAGGAAACTGAGGCCAGGGAAGGGAAATGACTTGCCTGAGAAAACACGGATGTGGCCAACGGAAGCCTAGACCCGACACCTGCTAGTTCCTAGCCCAGAGTGCACCCACCTCCCTGTGCTGCTTCCTCAGATGGCATGGACCTGCTTTCCCCAGGTGGGGGGGGGGGCTTTGCTACAGGTGGCTGGGTGACCTTAGACAGGTCACTTCAAGCTCCATGCCTCGGTTTCATGCTCTATAAATTAGGAATATTACTAAGAGTTCATCTACGTTATTACTGGATCATACTTTTTTTTAATGTAGGAATGCTTTGAGTTCCTGAGAAAATAATTACTACCTAAGCTTAGTTAATATTTCTAAAGCTGCAGAGAAAGGGGAGTAGCCAAGGAGACCACCTCAGTGGGGACATTTCTTCCTGGAGCTTTTCCAGAGTCTGAATTAAGCGTGTTCTCCTTTATTTGCAGGTTCCGGAGGAGGTACGTCTGGTGCGTCAGTCCCGTCCCTGGGGGCTCAGGTTCACCAACAAGTCAAAGGCTTAGACTGCTGGCTCGGGGGTCTTGTGAAGCCTGCTGGTAGCCATGAAGGATGAGTCCCCACCCACTCTGGACCCAGGGAGGTTGCTCAGGTCCTTTATCCTGGGGTCTGAGCTCAGGGTGAGGCGCCTTGGGGAGTCCCCGAGGTCTGAGCTGCTTCCCCGGGGCCAGCAGGGCTGCGTTTAGTCCTGGGTGGAGGACCCATGGTCTGGGACTGCAGGAGGCTCCTCTTGGAGTCCTGTATTGCTCTTCCACAAGCCTGAAGGCAAATGGTGAGCCCACAGGTTGTATTACAGAGATGCGGGAGCAAAGGAAGAGGCCTGGACCCAATTCCCAGCTCTGCCATTTGCAGGCTGTGTGACCTTGGACAATTACCCTATCCTCTCTGGACTTCAGTTTCTTCTTCCATATAACTGGTCAGCCATCCACCTTGCCAAGCTGTTGGGATGCACTGAATTACGTGAGAGCAGTTAGTAGGCCTGCAGGTAGGGTTAACCGATAGGGTGAGACGCACAGTAGCGGCGTGTATCTTCAAAGGCCACAGCTATTCAAGTCGACACCCAGGACACTGCAGATGGTGACCTGCTGGGCCTTTGTGGATGCCGTGGTCAGACTGACACACCGGGTTTGGAAGCAGAGCCCCCTTCTCGCTCTGGTGCAGTTCGCTTCTGTCAATGTGTCTACACCACAGGGAACTGAGTGGGTCCCTGCCGCACGATAATGTCCCTGAGTGGTTAGAGGAAGGCCGAGGACCTATGTCCAAGTAGCAGATGGACGTGGGGTCCCCCGTCGCCCGTGCCGCCGAGTTCCTCAGTGGGCATTTCTTGTTTGGGGTAGAAAGTTTGCTTTTTAGCTCAGATGATCCAGACATTGTTGCTGGAGCCCTTTCCGGCCTCCCCTCCCACTTGCTCCTGTTTCTTCACCAGCTGACTGGACAGACCAACATCCACCTCAGCAAAAACTTCTTCCTGACGCACAGAGCGCGGGAGCGGTCGGACACCTTCATCAACCTGCGTGAGGTGCTCAACCGCTTCAAGCTGCCCCCAGGCGAGTACATCCTCGTGCCATCCACCTTCGAGCCCAACAAGGACGGGGACTTCTGCATCCGGGTCTTCTCCGAGAAGAAAGCCGACTACCAGTAGGTGGCTCTGCCCCCTCCTCCTCCTCCCCACCCCTCGTCCCGCCTGCCCACCCGTCCCTGGCCCACCCGGGACCTTACTGCCCCGAACCTCAGCTTCCTTCTCTACACTGCCTGCCCGCTTCTCGGGCCCAGTGTGGGCATTTGAGGCATTGAAGACCTTTAGTGTTGTACTCAGGTGAGCCAAGAAAAGAGCCACTCGGGCTGTTTTTGATTAGAAAGGGGTCGTTGAAAAGCAAGATGCAGAATCTAATTTCACAGCTGGAACGCCTGTCATTTGGGGCAGTGCTGGCGGAATCCTTGCCCTCCCAGTCCAGTGGCCGGGCAGGGCCACGGGTGTAGGTGACAGTCTCCGTGGCCCCTCAAAGCTTTCTAGCATCGCTCTCCGTCACAGTCACCAGGCCTCCAGGTCCTCCCCCTTCCTCACTGGATCCCAGCTGTTTGGGGACCCTTTTTGGCCGATACCACTGTCAGTATGGCCTCAATTCACATGGCTTCTGCAGTAGGGCACTTGCCTGCTTGATAATCAGTCTTGGGCAACTGAAGCAGCAGATTTACCGGTAGGCCATGGAACTGTCTAGAACTGATGGAAGGCTGAGTGGCAGGACGGGGAAGAGCAGGGACCAAGGACTCGCTGTGGGGCCGGGGTGTGGGAAGCAGGGGGCGTAGCCACTGCTTTGTGCCCTCTGACCTTGGGCCCAGAGCTGAGATCCAGAGACCCAGCAGAGGGTGTCCACGGCCTCTCTGAGCCCGCCTGGAGAGGGGAGGGGGCATGGGAGGGAGGGAGGAGCAGGGTTACCCATGGTCCAGCACAGTACACGGCAGAGAAATAACTTACCTCGAGAAAACCGGGGTGCTGTTAAGGCGAGGAGCTGGCGCCTGGCCGCCGCAAACCTATAACATCCCTGCCTCGTGGCTGCAGCCCTCCTGCCGCTGACAGGCTCTCTCCTTGTGCTGAAGCTTATCATGGGAAGGGTCTTGCTTGCAGCTGAGAGCACGGCCCTTCCCCGTGGCAAGCTTCCCCAGAAGGATCCTTGGAGGGAGCCTGGTGTGTTCAGCCTGCAGTGCCCTTACTGACAAGGAAATGGGAACAGGACTTGGTGACATTGGAATGACACTGTCCTATGTCAGCCTCAGTCCTCTCCCTCCCTGCCAACCACACCGCCGTCCCAGGGAGGCCTCAGCACCCCCAGCTCTCCTGTTGGCCGGGGGAGCTCCCGACCCCGACAGGACATCCTGTCCTGCCCCTCAAAGTTGTCTCCTTCCTTGTCCCAGGATATGAATGCTGATTCCGGCTAGCGGCACCAAGAAGTCCCCTTATCCTTTCTGCGAGGTGTCAGCACCGCAGAGGGGTCTCTGGGTGGCCTAGTCTGGGATCCGAGGGTGCCGGAGGAAGACCCTCCTGAACCTTACTTCCCTCACTGGGGAGCAGAGGACCCAGCTCTGCACACAGGACTGAGTGTGGGATAAACTAACCACCGCCCGAGCTTCAGCTGAAATCACCTATGGCCTCCCCACTGCCTGCCTTCTCCAGCCCTCAGCAGAGCGAGCAGGCAGCAGTGTGCACTGCGTGGTCCTCAGTGTGGACATTTATAATGGCACAGAGCATTTCCAATGGAACCTAAATGCTGTTCCTCAAAGCCAGGAACTGAGTGAGTCGTCCAGGGCACCAGCACTGCGGGACGTGGGGCTCTGCAGATTGTTCCAGCCATGACACTTCCTTAGATCATTTCTGCTTTATTTCTGCTGCAGGGGACATGTTATCACAGACAATTGCTATGCAGAGAAGACCCCTGTGCCCACCCCATGCTGAGTTTAATGTCACAGTTCCATTTTAGCAGTGACTTCTGCAACACTCCCTTTGCGCCCTCCCCTCCCTTCCAGTAACCCACAGTTTCCTTCTGTCTCCAGGGCTGTCGACGATGAAATCGAGGCCAACCTTGAAGAGGTACTTGTAACCCCTTGAATTCCACCCACACTCTGTCCTGAACAACCCAGGAGCAGAGAAGCAGAAAATAATCCCAAGGGCTTAGGAGGCCCCTAGGACGTGATGAACACAGCATGCAACGAAGGATGCAGCCCTGGCCTGGGAGTCTGGAGCTCCTGCCCTGGCTGTGCGGTCCCTGGGAGGTCACTCATGTGCACGTGGGGGCCGTGGAGGATGAGACACCCGGCTGCACTGATCAGTGGAGGTTCTTGCCACTCCCCTCTCTGGACATGGGTTTGCTCATCGATCAAACGGAAGCGCTGGGTGATGAGATTTCTCAGATCCCCTAGAGTTCCAGGAGTTGTGACTCAGCGGTAAATCCTGAAGGGCTTTGAGAGATACAACTCGGGAATTTTTTACTAATTCCTCATACCATCCTGTGTCTCAATCCCAGTAACCATAGAATTTAGGACCGAGAGAGGGAGAGAGGGTAACTGTGGGCAGGGGGAGGCCACCTTGCTGGTCCACTGCGTCTCACGTCTGTGCCTCACCTCCCAGAACGACGTCAGTGAGGACGACATCGATGATGGATTCCGGAGGCTGTTTGCCCAGTTGGCAGGGGAGGTAAGTGTCCCCAAACCTCAGTGTTACGCACCCTGCTGGATGCAAAGGGGAAGACAGTCTGTCCTGAAGACTTCCATTTAAGGGGAGAAAAGAAACAAACTGAATGACGGCAAAGAGGAGTTGCAAATGTAACCAGGATTTCTGTTCAGATTTGTTGCCTCTGTCCCCCGCCCCACCCCAGGACCTCTGCCCTTGGCCGGGGGCCTCCAGTTTCTGGTGGGTTCCAGCACTGTGTTCCTCTGGCCTTGGGACCCCTGGGCCTCATCATATGGCTGTGTTATTTGCTCTGTTCCACTGCAGCTGAGACATGGAACTCGGCCCCTTCTTGATTTCCACAAAACTTTTTGAGGTGATGGAGGACTTTAAATCATGGATGCAGCAAGAGTACGTTAGACTTCCCTGTTCTTAAAAAGAAAACAAAAACTGCAGCCATTTAGGCTCCATCTGCTACAAAGTTATTCCAGCCTCTTTCTTCCCAGCAACTTTAAAAAGTCATTCTCCTCCATTCTATGGAGGACTCTGGCTCTGTCCAGTGTCCACCATCCAGCTCACCTGGGCCTCCTCATCAGTGCGCTGAAGCAGGTGCCACCACTGCACACCTCCACCTGCCTGCCCCCCCACCCCCGCCCCCTCCCCGGTTTCTCAGGGGAAGGGGCATCACAGAGACAGACTTCCCCACCAACTGGGGACATTTACACTCACCACCCCCACCCCACCACATGCCCGCATACCTCAAGAAGGAACAAATGACTACAGTCAATTTTGGTCGGAAATAACGGGGCGTGTCCCCCAGGTCCACGTGGTGTGAGTGAGGAGAGGCATCTGCACCACCTGGGAGGAGCCCTGGCCTAAGGGGCCACAGAGAAAGCACCGGGCCGGCTCCTGGAGACAGCCAGTTCTAACCAGCTTTCCAGGAAGCCGGATCTGGGGTGTAAAGGAAGGCGGCTGGGTGGGAGGAATGGGGTCGAGAACTAAGTCAAAAGACCACAAACATGGGTGGAGCGGAGAATTGACTCTATTCCCTACAGCAAAGGAGCGGTGGCTGAGCTCTGCCTGGAGCACACTGCACAGCGAAACACTATCTAAAACTCGGGCTGGGGCAGCAGCAGCATCTCCGGGGGGCTTGTGAGAAATGCACACCCGCAGACCCCAGACTCACGCACCTCGCAGGGCGTGGCCGGAGCAGGCACCATTTAGTGTTTGCTGCTCCACTACCTGTGGCCCCCGGGGAGCCACTAACGATGCTCTGTTTGCACATCTGCAGGATGCAGAGATTTCTGCCTTTGAGTTGCAGACAATCCTGAGAAGAGTTCTAGCAAAGCGTAAGTATCCCCTCCTTACAACCCTCATCCTGCTCCTGGGGCTGGGAGGTGAGGGAACGCGGGAGTCCTTCCCCTTCCACGTCTTGGCTCCTGTGGCTGAACCGCCACGTCTGCTGCCCGATAAATACCGATGCGACCATCGCTAAAGACCTGGGTCAATGAGGTTCCTCCTCCATGTGATTAAAACAAGGTTTCCGGGGTCTGGAGGTCAAAGATCACACCCAGGTTTCTACTACTTACTAACTGTGATCTAAAGTGAGTTAGATAACCTCTCTGACTCTTGTTTCCTTATCTGCAAAATAGTCACATTCTTACTCACCTCATAAGAGGGGTTGAACGTCATAAGTGAGATGACGTGTAGGAACTGCCTAGCACAAAGGCTCCATAAACGGTGGCTATTAGGATGATTAATTGGTTTAAAAAAGAAAAAAAAGCTGAGTCAGCCCAGACGATGGGAGCCGGAAAGCATCCCCGTCCCTGAATCCCAGCTGAATGTAGTAGGGAGCCAGTGAGAGTGACGACATCTCACTGATCAGCCAGAATGGAGAAATAAATGGTCCCTCTTTCACTCAAACGAAGGGGAATGACATTAGAAAGCCTCATCTCCCAAGTGTGTGTTTAAGTGAGCCTCATGCGGGGCCAGTTGTGGATGGGAGAAGGGTCAGCCACTTCAGGTGAGCTGATGGGCCGGGCAGGTGCCTTCAAGGCTTCAGAAATGGCCGCTCCCAGCCCAGGCTGACGGGCTTCACAGAGAACAGACACAGCTAAGGAGCTAGAGAGCCGTGGTTCTCGCACACTGTTCCAGCTGGTAACTGTTTCTAAAGTGAAAAATATCAAAGGATTGATTGTCCACCTTCGCACTGCTGATCACCACTGCCGGTGGGGAGGGGATGGTGGGGGAGAACACACACACGCACGTTTCCCCCCTAAATTGTCCCAAGAACCACACTGCATTTGAGCTTCTGTGAGTCCCAGAGCTCCTGCCAGGGGTTGAATGGCCAGCACGGCCAAGCCAGAGCGTCCCCAGGGCAGGTCCCATCCTCAGCCTCCCTCCTCCAGTCTGGGGGTGACAAGAAGATGGTGTTACCCTGAGGCTGCCAGGCACAAGTGAGGTCATCGGGCTCCCCAGATGTGTGGCCGTCATGAGGACACTAAGCCTCGTTGTTACTGCATAGGAGCGGGGAGGAGGGGGGAGCGGGCTCAACTCCTCCTCGCGGGGGGGTGCAGCATTGGCCTCCCCGTGCCTGGCGACTCCTGTCTTCTGCCCCAGGCCGCCTCACGCCCAGACGTGGGACGGGGTCAGAGCCTAGAATGGCTGCTCTGAGACAGGTTCAGTCATAACCTTTTACAAGGACTTGATGGAAAGCGTGGGCTCCCATGAAGTCTGGGAACAGAGTCATGTCTGTGACAAGGCTGTCATCCAACCTGCCAACCACCAGCTTGACAGGACTCACCTAGGAGAGCACAGGGGCTCCGACAGCCTCTGGCCCACTGGGTGCTCACCCAGCCGGGGACACACAGGCTCCAGAAACGCCTGCAGACGGACAGTTAGGTCAACCTCTTCCTCTCACAGGTCCCAGCCTAGAATGAACACGTGTGGCCTCTGATTTGTCCCTGCCTGATGACCACAGGTGACTTATTGTACCCTGTGAGCTTTGAAAGGCCCGGTCTCTTTATCATTCTTTTATTTAAAAAGCACTGATTAAAACCTTATATGCCCATGGTCAACATACAGAGAAGTCAGACAGATGTCCCACATCCTCTGCACTGTCCCAGTGTGCTGGCCACCAGCCTCATCTGGATGTTTGAAATAACTTGAGGTGACTCCTGTATGAGGGCAGATACAGGACACTCCTGTCGTCACAGAAATTTCTGCCGGCAGAGCCATTCTAGAAGGTTTCCCTGTTACTTATTTTGTCTTCTAGGCCAAGATATCAAGTCAGACGGCTTCAGCATTGAGACCTGCAAAATCATGGTTGACATGCTCGACGTATCCTTTAATATGTGCCCGGGAGGACAGACTGGAGGAATCTGAAACCTCGCTCCGGGCGGACGCGCACACTCCCCGTCTCCCCTTCAGAGCTGCTGGCTGGACCGCTGCTGGGTTGTAGGCCTGTTGTCAGCACTCACCTCCCTCACTAGGGAAACCGGCGCAACTTCACATGAGGGCAAGTGAGAGGTCACACCCCTAGGCTGCCCACACCGGCTGGTGAGGTCAGCCAGCTGGGCCCTGGGCTCTTCCAGGCGCTCCCACCAGTCCGCCCACTGGTCTCTGCCCTGGGCAGCTTGGATTTGCTTCCTGAGTGACGGTGTTTCCATTACTCCTCTAGGAAAGCGTCCCCTAAACCATATTTCTGATGGGAGCCTTTCCCTGTCATGATTTTCTTCCTGGTTTGTTGGTTTGGGCCCCACCCTCCAAGCACCTTCTCCGTCCTCTTCTCTCCGGCTCCTCCCCAGGCCCCACTCACCTGAGGCCAACTAATCATCCTCTCTCCTCCCCCATTCCTGATGCTTCCCGAGGGCGCGGGGCAGGGCCGTCACACTTGCGTGATGCTTCATCTCTGGGTTTGTGGCACCCTGTGTAGCTCCCCTCACAAGAGGCCCCTTAGAAGTAATGATCTCCCCAAGTGGGTGAGGGCCCCGCCATTAGAAGCCACCTGAAACCCCTGCATATCCTCCGACAGCTCATCTTCAGCAGGACCTGGGCCTTCAGGGCACCCGAGACAATCGGCAGGCAGAGGTGGGGGCACCAGCGGGTCTCTATCCGGCCCTTCACCAACCCTTTGAGGGAGCTGTGGCCAACAGGAGGAGCAGGAGAGGGTCCTGTGAGGGCCCTCGTGAATAAGTGGTGGTTACCAGGCTCCCCAGGGGAGACGACAAACCAGGGGACACGGCCCACGTGAGCCCAGACTCCAGGAGCTTTCCTTAGCCGAAGGCAGTCGGATGGCAGTGGCAAGCTGGGCCTGAAGGAGTTCTACATTCTCTGGACGAAGATTCAAAAATACCAAGTAAGAGCCCGGGGGACCCAGTGGCCAGGGCGGGGGATCTGTGTGAGGACCGTGGACTCCCGGATGCAGCAACTCTCCCCGATGGCGAGGAACGTTTCCCAGGGGAGGGCGTTGCACCCATAATGGCGCTCAGGATGGGTGAAGACAGGGCTGGGCGAATGCAAACAGAAAAAGCAAAGACTTTGCAAGTTAGGCCATCTCCTCCCTGCCAGACTGGCTAGAAACGGGGTCTTCTAGAAGCCACCGAGTTTCCTGGAAAGCCTGAGGAGCCCCTTGTGGTTTAGATTCTTGGCAGCTCAGGTACAAAAAGCACAGAAGACACTCACAGGGGCTCATGCGGTTGGCTAGGGGGTCTGACGGGCATATTTATAAACCAGCTCACGGAGAGAGGCGAAACACTTACTTAAGGCAGAAATGGGTGACTCTTCCCAAGGCAAACTAGAAGCACGGAGCTAGAGGGACTTCAGCCCCACTGAGCACAGAGAACAGAGGTAACCTGCCACCTTTTGGGTCATGGTTTTCTAACTATTTTCCATGTTCCAGAAAATTTACCGGGAAATCGATGTGGACAGATCCGGTACCATGAACTCCTACGAGATGCGGAAAGCACTAGAAGAAGCAGGTAACACTTCCTAGCTGTATTTCCTTTCTTTCATCTGCAGAATATGTGAAAACTTATTCTATACGATACAAAGTTTGGTAAAGTATGAAATGAAGTAGGTGCTGGTTCAATACCGACACATCCTTTTCATTCCCCTTTTTAAAGACCACTTGGTAAAATGAAATGGAGTCCAGGACACTCTGCCTCCTAAGCCTTCCTGAATCTCAGTTTCCCTCCAAGAGCCCTGGTGGGTCACAGGCAAAGCAGTTCTCAGCAGACCCACCCAGACCCTCCTCTCAAGCACAGGGTTGGTCAGGCAGAAATGGGATGTCCAGCTCCACCCTTGGGTGAGTCCCTAGCAGAATGTGATGTCAGTAAAAGGGACACCAGCTTGGGGGACACAGCAGAGTGGAAGCCTGTGTGCTTAGGGGACAAATATGACAACACGAGGTTTTCATTAGCTGGATATAATGCCACAGCAGAGACCCCAAGTCGGCGGTTTAAACAAGATACATCTTTCTCTCACAGAACAACTCAAGCTCAAGCTGTCCAAGGCTGGGATGGTGCCTGCTGCGGTCAGGGACCCGGGCTCCTTCCATCATACTGTCACCGGCCCTTAGAGCGTTGCCCTTATCTGCAGGAGTGGGATGGCTTGCTGCCACCGCCACATTCAAGCAGTGGGCTCACGGGAGGCGGGAAAGAGGGGCTTCTTGCCTTTAAAGGCACATGTCCCCCTGCCAGGACTCAGGCCTTGTGACTAAGTCCTGGCAGTGGGACTGCAAGGAAAGCTGGGAAAGGCAGCCTTGATTCTCGGCAGCCACGGCTTGTTAAAAATTCTACCACTATGGATAAAGGGAGAAATAATTTTTTTCTAAAGAAACATTTTAATATATATGTATATTTCTAAGCACAGGTGTTACTGAAATTCTATTCTTCATCATATTAGAGGGGAAAATATATTTCTGTTCTAGAAAAATTATATACCTATATTCTATAGAAGAAAAAAATTTTTTGTTTCAACATTATATGCATTTGTTTTTGAAAACTAAATAGATCTTTTATTTTTTTATTGAAGTACAGTTGATTTACGAGAATTAATATCAGTTTACCTTGAACAGTTTCTGACACATACATCCAGGAAGAATCTAGTCTCCAAGATGATTCAGAGCTAAGCAAACAGAAAAGGAGGTGTGGTTGACAGCCTGAAGCTGTGTGACCACAGGAGTAGTAGGAAGAGGCAAGGAGGGTCTTAGGTGTCAGTCAGTAAGGAGAGAGGCCAGGTGGAGGTGAACAGTGTGGAAACAGCATCGGCACAAGGCACTGGCTTTGTAAAATAAAGTTGGGGGGGCGCAGAGCAGTTCTAATTGTGATCTAAATCCCCCCGCCCTCCCCCCCTCCCCGTTCCACATGACCCAGGGGGAGGGAGCCCCAGGGTGCAGCCTAACTCTTAGCAATCGGTTTGCATGTTCACCACAGGGTTCAAGCTGCCCTGTCAGCTCCACCAGGTCGTTGTCGCTCGGTTTGCAGATGAGCAGCTTATCATCGATTTTGACAATTTTGTTCGGTGTTTGGTTCGACTGGAAACACTATTCAGTAAGTGCCTACCCTGGGGAAAGATCCAGCTCAGCGCCCTGGGGATTAAAGCAGCCCGCCCTTCACCACAGGCGAAGCCACCTGAGCCCAACACGGGTCTGCCCAGTTGAGAAGGAAAATCCTTCTTTAATTTGGGGACAGCAGGGAGAAATAACAGCTTGTGATGTCCAGTGAAGTCAGCTGCCAGCTGGGGAGGTGGGCCACTTGCTGTTCCCGCTCACTCACCCCTACACCCTCTGGCTGCCCCACAGGGATATTCAAGCAGCTGGATCCCGAGGACACCGGGACCATCCAGCTCGACCTGATCTCTGTGAGTCTGTGGCATCCCAGCCACGCCCCAAGGGGACAGGGAGGAGGGCTGTTCCTCGGGAGACAGAGCCCCGTGCCTTATTGATCGGAATCTCAGTCTGTTGGCGACAGGCTGTAAATGCTTATCAGGTCCCACAGTGCACGGCCGTTTGCAGGCGTTTCCAAACTACCTATTGATTCTCAAGTCCAAGAAACACACCCGGTTTCTCCTCCCATGAGTTTTGCCTTGAGAATTGCACAAGATTAAAATAGGAGGGCGGCTGCAGGATCCCATTTAGAAAAATGACCTGCTAATTAATTAGCATGCCCGGGAGAAGGTGCTCTGCAAAGAAACCCTGTGGGTGAAGTTCAAGTGGGTTTGGGAAGATCTGTCGTTCTTAGATCTACTTAAAATATTTTCTGAGCAAGTGACTTTTCTCTACTCCCTCCCCTTCAGAATAAAACGATCAATAGTAAATAAGCTGCCAAACAGAATGACTATACTCATGTGCCCGGAACCCCAGCAATGCCCACCTCTGAAATGATCACCAATCCAAACCCAGTCACTATACCAATTCCACAAAAAGCAGAGCGCAAATGTTCTCTTGTCAGCTGAAGACAGAAAGTTCTCACTTCAGAGAAAGCCAGCTGGGGTGTACTTTCATCCTCACCTGCCTCCAGCCGGCACCTCCTCTGTCCGTGGGGCAGCTGAGCTTGGGGCACACAGGTGACAAAGGGCGGGGTCAGGTGGCCAGTGCTGAATGTGAATGACATGTCCCATGGACCAGAGTGGTAGGAAGGACAGATGTGAGGGACTGACAACTCCTTTCCTTGAACCTGAACTCAGGAGGAAACCAGCAATTAAACAGCTGTTTCACTCTATTATGTTAAAGTAACTTTAGCCAAATGAACATAAATTTTAGTTAGTCACAAAGAACACTGACTTGCTTAAAACTCTGCGCAGCCTAGGAAATACCCCTCCCCGAAACTGCCATCTAAGGTAGAGGCAATACAGCTGGGACTTGAACATGCCATCTGTGAATTCAGGAAACCAGCCTCCTCCTCATTCCCACTGGAAATCTTACTCCTCCCCAGCCCCCACTGCTCTGTGCTGGCCAGCCTACTCAGTCCTTCTCCCCGCTTCCTCTGAGCAATATCTTGTCCACCGGCTGTCCCTCCCTCCTTTTCTAAGCCTCGCCTTTCACGGGTCCCATGAGTTCCCCATACACCACTGTTTTTCTGCCAAGGCTGCGACAGCAAGGTCTCCCCTTCAGTTTGCAGTGACGGCCAGCCCTGGCTGCAGGTGACATCACCTGCGGAGCTTTGCAGAAGTCCTGCTGTCCAGGCCCCTCCCAGACCAATTCAACCAGAATCTGATTTAAAGGCCCCGGATTACTCCAATATAGAACCAGGGTTGAGAACCACTAGTTTAAGGGCTCTCCACACCCCAAACCGACCTCTGAGGTGACACTCGGAGGCAGAGACGTGAAATTGCTGGTTCATGGTGTCTGAGTTTCATGTGTTTCAGTCAACACTGTGGTATGATTTATGACTACCTGACTTTACCAGCCTGTAAAAAGCTAGACCTGTAAAAATCAGTTAGGAAAAGAGGTGAGTTAGTGCACTGAGATCTTAACCCCTGATCAGCTTTTCTGGTACAGTGGTCAGTCTTTCAGGATAATCCACAGGGACTTAAACAGACTTTTAAATTTTAAAAGTAGTCACTGAGCTGACTTGCTTTTTCCTCCCACAGTGGCTGTGTTTTTCAGTACTCTGAAGTTCTAACTAACCTGCCTGAAGACTTCTCATGAAGGAGAATCAGCCAAGGACTAACCCTTCACAGAGAAACTTTTTATCTGGATCCTGAAGTTATGGGAACATTTACTTAAACTGATAATTAGCTGAAAATAATGATACTGTCCACTTGAGAAAGCAGAACTTCCAGGTATCAAAGTATCATTATTTTGATTATGAAAGTAAAAGATTTGCATAGTATTATACTAAATGCAAGTGAGTCGCTTAACCCTCGATAAACTTAGAGAAAACCTTCAGATGTACATAGTATACACACTTTTTACTTTTACACACTTTCCCATTTATAGCACTATTAAATCAGGAAAAAAATGCAGCTGTAGCATTTAATGGACAGCAGTCCAGGGATCACCATCTCCCTTGAGTAAAACAGAAAAATACGATACATCACGAAGGCTTCTGAAGAGGCCAGGTGAGAAGCACAGCTCTGTCATTTGGGTTAAGTAAGAGACAGGTTTTATATAAAACTGGTTAACAGTATGTCTTAACTCAAGTCCTTGAGCACATCTGGTCTCACGCACTGCACGTTCCGAGTACTAAAGGGATTTCGCTTACCCACACGGGCGTCGGGTCCGCAGCCCCTTATGATAAAACACCACAGCTGTTGGCACCTGCCTCAGACCTCCCCGAACTTCACCACCGCTCGCATCTGTGCATGGGTCGGGGGACAGTCATAGAGGACCATCTGTGAAAACGACGCGAGCTTGTTTCCCGGCTTCTCCTTGGGAAAATGCTAGCAACATTAGAAAAATACTGCCTTGTTGCCTTACCTTCCTCCAGATGTACTGTTAAATAAAGAGTTGCCCAAGCAATCACATGTCCGCTGTCCTTCCTGGAGGGGCTCTGCGGCGAGCATCCCCTGACGACAGCCTATTCCACGTTAGCAAGGCGTGCTCGCTCCCTCTGCAAGTGCCCGTCCTGGGAGGAAAGGGCAGCTCACCCATCATCTCAAGGTGGAACTATAAAACTTTGAAAAAAAATCCAATCCAGCAGCTCTGATAATTGACCATAAATTTGTTGTGGCTCCAATGTCTACAGCTTCTTGTTCTCTTAAAGAGGCAAAGGCAGGTTCCTGCCTTGCCTGCCACCCACGTGTCACTTTGGTGTAGGGAGCCACAGGGAGCCAGGGAGACGTGCAGCTAAGCCGCAGGTCTGCGGCTGGGGTCCCTGAGGAATCAGCAAGACGGGAAAGCTGGAAGATGATGACTTGAGAGAGGTAAACGCCGGCTCCTATTTCATGAAAAGATAGGAAGACGGATTTCCCAAATTCAGCTCACATGAGGTTAAGTGTTTGAGGGCCCAGAGGCGGTGGCAACTGCGAACCGGCAGCAGTGCCCTGGGTTAGGCAATCTTCTCTGTCCAGCAGTACTGGGTTCCGGAGGGTTAGATGTTCCAGTGACTCAGGATTCCAGGGGGCAGGGAAGTGTGGCCAGGGAAGGAGGGAGAGGTGGGTGCAGACAGACATGGCTGGAATACGGGAGGGGACAGGAGAAATTGGGGGGAGAAAGGCAGGCACCACCCAATCCACAGAGGTTGCCCGAAACCTCTCCGGCTGGGCTGCTGCGCTGGTGCAGGCCCCTCCAGGCACACTCTGATCTGCAGCTCAAAGTTCACCACTACTCTTTCAGTCACAGGATAAGAAATAATGTTAAAACAAAAATAAAGTTAGGGTATATGCTTACCATAGCAAATCTAAAAAAGATTTAGAAGAGAATGGGAGAGATTTTACAGGGGAAAAAACTGAAGATAAACAAAGTAAATCCCCCCTCAAACCTCCGAGCCGGTAGGAAGTCACCGCAACCTAAACCCTCTCTGCTCCCGTGCTGAGTCCAGGAGAAGAGCCCTCCCCAGGCTCTGCTCTGACCTGCAGCCTCAGCCTGTCAGCCAGGCATCTCTCTTCCGGCTGCACGTTCTCTTTCTGCAGCCCTCACTCAGGCCCGAGAGCTCCCCGCGCGGTCACACACCAAACACCCCCGCATCTTGCCTCCCCTCCTTCCACAGAGCCAGGCCCCCCGAGCAGCCGCAGCCGTCCCTGCTAGATCCCCAGTTCTGCCTTCTCAGTGACTCCTTCACCTTCTACAGCCTGGCCAGTGGCCTGGCCACTCTGCTAAAACTGCTTCCTAGAGTCACCTCTTACTCCAAAGCCAAATCCTACAAAGCACACCAGCCATCCTCCTCTCGGCTCACATCCCCCCCACTCCCTCTTCCTCTCCTGGGAACCAGCCGTCTGCGGTGTCCCGCGCCTCCCTGAGCCCAGGCTCCTCAGTGGCTCCACTGCTGTGGGCTCTGAGCACAGCTGGGTTTACACATTACGCTCCTAAAAACCCTGCTGCCTTGAAGGCGTGACTACAGCATCAGCTACAACACAGAAGAACTGGAAGACAGCCATGTGTTCAGTACGACAGAATAAATTACACGACAACGCTATACAGCCATTACCAGTTATGTTTATGATGCAACGTGAAGCATAAAACAGGAGAACACGGAACTGTTTAAACAGTATGCCCTCAGCTACGTGAAGAGAAGGTCATAGGCAAGACCAGAAAGAAACAGGCCCGAGTGTCAGTCACAGTTGCCGTGTCCACAGTGGTCCTTGCCCCAACCTGCTTCATAACCTGTTCCTGCTCCTGCACCTTTAAATATTTCTATAGAAATAGGAGCAACCGTTGGTTTTTTCACTTCTCTTCTATTAAATGAACTAGTTCCATTAAGCAAAATGAGTTCCAAAACAATTCACAAATGTGGTAACATATTAATAAAATGATGTGCAGGACCAAGGCTACACAAGTTTCCATCCTATAAATCAACTTATGTAACTCTGAAGAATTTAAACAAAATGAGGACAGTGAACAGCCTATCAGAGGCTCCAGGTAAAGGTACGAGTTTCTCTCACCACGGTCTTAAAAAAAAACTCAATTCTGTAGCAAAGACCACCACAAAACTCACAAATTGCAAAACGAGCAAAGAAATACTTCTTATTTTTCACCTGGGTACAGTGTTCCAAAGGCTTAAGAACTTTAAACAAAGCTAGGAAAAAAACTAAAGCCAGTAAAAAGCTTAAAGTCAAAAAGTTTAATTTTATTACAATTGTTTTTAAAGTCAGCTATGATCTTGACAAATACCATGAGTGAGTCTATTGCAAGCCTCTAATTTCTGAGATACAAAAGACAATAAATATAGATTCAAATTTCAGCCTAAAAACAAGATTCTAAATCTAATTACCTGTAGTGTGGCATGGTTTCAATATTTCAAATAACGTGTAATCCTTAAGATGCTACAAAAACTCGTATCAAAGTTATTGCTCACTGACAACCAACAGACAGTTCTTCACAGACAACACACCTGTGCGACACCTTCAAGCCTTCACGCGAGTTCCCTGGGGGCCTGCTGGTGCTGGGGGACATCAGATGGCACCATGATGGCCCCTGTACTGCTGGCGGGAGGACAGGTATGGGGGCAGGTGCTGGAAAACACCAACTTAAAAGGCGGGACGTGACGCTGATTTCCCAGTAGCCCAATAAGTGGTCCTACTTCTAGCAGAGGACAGAGCTGTCGCTGTGCATCTTTCTGAGTGCCACATGGAACACTGAGCCCTCATGCAGCTCGGTCAGCTTCCTCGTGAGCTCCGTTCCCTCATGCTGAACGTCTTCTGCGAACAGGGACTGACTTCTCCAGCCCTTCATTTGCTTGCAGAGTGCATTCTTCATGGCTTTCAAGTTACTTTGTCATTAAAATAAGTCTCGTGAAATTTTTTGCCCCAAATGATCATATTATTTCTTCTTAGTGGTAACAGAGATTAATTCTTCATTAACTAAAATTCTGCCATGTTTCAGGCCAAGCTCCTTTGTCTTGGTTTAATTCTTGGGTATAGCTGTAAAAAGAATTTTTTAAATATTTACGTACTGCACAGGCATGGGAGTAAAGCAAAATTTCAAGAAATGAAGGGGACTGGGGGCAGGTGTTGATGTCACAAGAAAGAGGTTAAACCAAAGAAAGGACTTGCGATGTGAAGCACCCAGAGCTGCCCAAAGATCCAAAGGACAGTCCAAGGTCACAGGTCCCTTGACAGGGACAATGCCATGGTGACGATATATAATCCATGGCATCTCTGAGCAATCACCCCATGGCACAGCCTACTGACTTGAACTGTAAGTCAAGTCTAAGAAGGACCACAAACAACTCAAGGTGATTTGCAACGTGCTCTGAGCTCCAGCATGTGGAGCTTCCATTCCAGGGGAAAAGAGAGGGACTGAAAAGTCTTTTTACTTCATTCACAGTGGAAGTCACATTGTGTGATGGGATGGATGGCTGTCAGGAACGAAATGCCACAAGACTAAAAGTCTACAGATTTGAGGAAGGACAGGTGGAGTTTTTGGTTTTGTGTTTTCCATGACCAGAGCCAGGGAGGAGTCCCAAAGCCAAGAGCAAGTCAAACTAGTCCAACTGGCAAACTCCACAAAACCCTCCTCCTCTTCCTGCTTCCCGAGACAAAGGGGGAAAAGTTCACTGAAGAAAGTCGATCAGACTTCCAGCCAAGACTGAAAAGCTAACTGACAAATCAGAGTTATATAAAGGGCCATTTTTCTCCGGGAAGAAAGATATTTAGCCAACATAATTTTCTAAACTCATATCTGAGCCTCTGCCTAAAACTTCAACATTTATGCAATTTCCTTTTTTAAAAAAAAAAAAAAAACCTCGAAAGAAACCCAAAGAAGTTACATAGAGGTCACTTCCATCCAGGAGAGATTTCCAAAGGACGAAGAATACTGATGGTGCATTAAACTGAAAACCTTCAGTCCAGCCTGTTTGGAAAGCCACACATGGGAGGCAGAGCTTGGCCTCCGACCAGCTGCTTCCACACTCGGGAACAAATCATTCTCCCCGTGTTTCATTAGCTACCAGACCACTTCATTAGAAAATTAAAATAAGACTCAAATAAGCAACTACTTCTAAGAGGTAGAGCTTTTCCCAGCACACGTGCTTGCTGCCCTGACATTCCCTAGAGAAGGACACGTGAGTCTACTTCTCTGGAGCTGAAGACGTAGAGGCGAATGGGAGGGCTCGAAAGGGAGCCACCTTTATATTTCTACTTTTGCCTGGTAATTTGAAAGCTTTTTCAAAGGGCTCCATGGCTTAATTTTTTTTCATTTGCATTATTCTTTATAACTTACATAATGATCAAATGAAGAAATACTGTCCAAATCCCAAATGTTTACTTAGTAAGTTCTGCCACCAGGAAGGCGGCAGTCGGGACGTGTGAAGCCGTGTACACCGCACATCACACCAACCGCGAAGGAGGAGGAGGAGTCAGGAGGAGACGCTGGCCACAATCCAGGCAGCCAGGTCCCAACACTGGCGCCCTCTGAACGGACTCCACAGAGACTGCCGCCCGGGCAGCGGGCCACTCACAGATGGAGCCCGGGCACTCGGCCTCCACGTGACGGAAGCTCCCTGCGGGCACAGACCGTGTCTGCCCGACAGAAGATGAAAATACAATAAAAGTATCTCCCATTTGCGTACATCAGACTCTGCCAACTATACCAGCCTTTTCCTGAAATACTCCTGAGACTCTGCCCGATGGCAGCGGGTCCTTCATACTAAGATGGATGTGTTACTGGTTTATATGTGCTTATACGATTTGATTGTTTTCTTGGTTTTTATGAAGCTTAAAACCCAACAATAGAGAAAGAACAAAGAATCTTGTCTCCAGTGCCCTGTTCAAGCTCGGTAGCAGACTGACAAATTCTGATTTAAACAAATTCAAGATTTAGTTCCAATGTCACAAGCTCAATTTCCATCACATTATCCAGGTCCCTTCACTCCATTTATAAATGGAGACAGGACCCCTGACCTCTGGGGGCTGGCAAACACGTACATGTGCTACTGATCGTAATAGGAATCACTGAAAATGTGGTTTTAAGTCTAAGACGATCAGAAATGTGAAATCTCGAGTCTCATGAAAGAAGGGCACCAGGCCACCCTGCATCCAGGACACACAGTCTCCCCAGAGCCCCTCCCCGACGCATCGAAGATTCACTTACCCCTAGCAAGTTGCGTGGAACGTAGCCCTCCCTGTCATTCAGGCGGGCCCACCACCACTCTATCTCGTCCTCGTCCTCCCTGCGGACGATCGTCATGCAGTCTCCTTCCTTCATGGGCAGCTCGTCATCATTCTGAGGTTCATAGTCCCAAAGTGCATAAATGACTCCTTTATTCATTATGCCCATCTTCTCCTGAACTCCTGAAACCATGTAAGGTACAGCACAGGATAAGCAACTCAGAGTACATCATGCTAAGAACTTCTAGCTCTATGAGACCAGATGAAAAGAAATGGGGATGTGCCAGAATGGCAGAACTACCTCATTAAATGCTCAATAAATAAATTTTTCAGGGCTGTGGGAGGATAGGAAGGCCAGCCGTGCAGAGGCAACACATAAAAGACAAGTTCATATACCCTGTCATCTTTAAACCAGCTCTAAAAACTAACCAACGCCTTATAAGCAGCCCTCAAAACTAGTCTTACTCAGAATACAAAAACTTTCACAAGCCCAGGAATTAAAAAAAAAAAGAACTGTTCATGTCTAGGATATTAAAAAAGTGAATGACGCATTTGTCAAATTTCAGCCTGCTCCTAAGTGTAAGTGACCGAGGAACTCTGGAAACATTTTTGTTCCTTACAGAGAAAAAAGACCAAAAGTGTTGTAACTCTTAAAGTGGTCTCTATCAATTTCTAAATGGGGAAAAATAAAAGAAAAAAAACCCCCAAAATGTTAGAATGCAGAAATATGGCCAGGTACATTAGTCATGATATAAAAGTCTACATACAGTCAACTCTAAAATAACTGGAATCAGAATTCTAAAAGATACTGAAATCCACACTGGGGAGGGAAAATAATCCCCAAACGTCCACTTTTCACCAGAGTTAATAACAGATTTGCAGATTAACTATGACGTTAGGCTGTGCCCTTCCCCATGTACACCTTCCCACCCTACAGGGCAATGCTATTAAGCAGGAACAACCAGCAACAGCAGGCAACATGGGGGTGGGGGGGAGAAGGAAAGGAAACAGACAGTAATGTTCTGAGCAATTCAGAGTTCATTATTATTTTCACCTTTTTAGAAAAGCCAGGAAAGTATCTGCCCGCTGTTGAATTGTCAGGTTTTTTAGCTTATGTGAACCTAAATTATTAATTATGAACTTACTTTTCCTCTATCAATTAATATGATGCAGCATGCAGTGTCTCACTCTGCACAAAATGAAACGAGAAATGAAATCGTTCTGTTCCAAAGGAAGACTCTGCCTATCTTGAGAGTCAGGTTTCTACTAATGAGGACAAGTAAATTTCCCACTTTCCTCTTTACACAAGACATGCAAAGCCTGACAATGAGATTCATGAGGACAGTAAGACTTGATATAACTGTAATTCCACAGAGTTTTAAAGCTGGCCAGACTCATTACCTGTTTGGGACAGGAATGGGGAAGGTGGTAGGAGAGAAATTCTGGACACTTCTGTGTACTCAAAATAAGAACCCGGATCTCATTTCCAAGAAATCTTTAGGAATGGAAGAAAATCTGTCACTGCTTTGCTATTTACCGAACTGAGACCTATGAATTACTGTTTGAAAAAATGTTGAGGGGCCAAAAACATGCTCAATATCCCTGGCAATTTGGGAAATGCAAACTAAAGCCACAGTGAGATATGATTCCAAATCCACCAAGGGTCTAAGAGAACACGGAGCAGAAGGAACTCTGCTCGACGTGCGTCCCTGTGCCCTGGCAGTTCTAGGTCTAGCCGGACACCAGAAGATGAGGACAAAAATGTCACCGGAGCTGCGTTTATCATTGAACAAATAAGCATATAAATGAAACAAGCCAACGTCCGCCAAAGGCAGAATGGAAAGACAAGTCGTGATATAATCTTAAAATGGGACAGTGCAGCACAGCAAAAAGAGACGAAAGCTATGTGCAACAACACACATGAATCTCAAAAACGATGGTGAACGAAAAAAGCCAGCCATAGAATCACCAGTATGGTTTCTTTTATGTAAAGGTCAAAAACAGGCAAAACTAAACAATATTAGTTATAGGATTTATACAGAGGTGATGAACTATTTTTAAAAAGCACGGGATGACAAATACGAGAAACATAAAATTCAAGGTGGCAGTCGCCACGGATGTGAGGCACGACATCAGGGCAGGGTCTCTGATGATGTCAGAGAGGGCGAAGGTTCTGTCTCCCAAGACGGACACGTGGGTTTTTCCTTGTTCAATCTATTGTCATCATTACTTAAATTGCACATCTATGTCAGAAACACTCCTGGTGTCCATGATATAGTTCATAAATCTCCATAGTTAAAAATCTCTAATCAAATGTCCGTAGCTGTTTTTAAAAATCATATTCCATACTTAAATACAGCTTGATCGCCAATACATTTAATATAAGGAAGTACATACTAATATATCACATTAATTTTAAAATAGGTTAATGTATCAAAATCATTCTCTGACCTAGAGTTCAGAACATAAAGTAATCATAAATATCAACGATAAAAACTAAGAGCCAAGAGATGAGAGGACTTGTGGTCTGTGGTTCTCCCTGAGCCTCTCCCTTCTGTTTACTTATTTGCAAAGATGCAGCATCACACGCTAAGCACTGCGTCTTACTAGAGAACTTTTGAAGGTCAAAAGCCATTAACAGCACTAGATCCAATGCTGCATCATTGTCTTTTGTAGCTGAAGATGCCCCTGACAATAGCTGTTTCTAGGCAAACACACAAAAGCTGCATTCACATCTGGGATTGAAGCTGCCCTATTTTCAGTGCCCAGGACTACGTACAACACAAAATACGCTTTCCCAAATAATAAAAACGCTTACCAGATTATACCCTAGAGATGTGGGATAAATTAATGCAATAATCAATACACGAAAATCTAACTGCTCCATACCGTAAAGAAACTGCGAGCACTGGGTATAGCCTTCCTCCATCTCCTCACACTTATCGGCAGCAGTCTGCATGTCACTGTAGGTCATGGCGAACACGGCGGCTCCCGACTCCACCAAAAACTTACACACCTGGACGTTGTTACAGGAGGCAGCGCAATGCAGTGGGGTCCTGTGGAGTAGGACACAGCAAGAGCTAGATTTGGCTCCCTACACTGAATGACACCTGCTGAGAAAGTTCTCAAGCCTGTCATCCACCAAGCCCTTTCTTCTGAAAAACCTCTTACACAGTTTTTAAAAAATCAGTTAAACATAGATACTTGAGCCCATCAGAGAATTATAGCCACAAAGGTAAAAGTCGGGGCACTAGACTACACTGGGGCTAGGGTGGAAGGTGAAGGGAATCAAGGAAATGAGCAGAAGGACATGAAATTTGTGCAACAGTCTAAAGCAGGATAAAAAGCATTTAGTTCTACGTTCTGGAGCACCCAGCCTAATTATTTCTGCCAGGGTAGAGGACATGTCTTTAAACGACAGGCCTTCGCTCAAAGCGTGAGCCTTTAAATAACCCTTTATCACCACCAGTTCTGAGGGAATTAATTTGCACATAGAGAGCTACTTCTATCCGATGTGTTTTTAAATCTGAATTAAATTTTAATTGGAAAAACAACTGTCAATTTAATTCACATTTCAATCTATGTTAGCAGGAACTTAGGAATACCACTACAGAGAACCTCCTCCAGCATCTCAAATGTTTCATAATGAAATATAAATAACTCCAGATTCATAGTAATTGTGGAAGCAGAGCCAGTACCACTGCCCAGATTCCAAAGACAGGACTGAGGATGCTCATCAGGCCCTGAAGTACACGAAGTTTTGTTTCTTTATCCTTTTCTTCTCTCTGCTCTTCATTTTATTCCCCTTGCGCCTTTCAGAGATTCCCCACCCCACCCTCCATCCTGGAACATCATCATTAATAGTTTGGTGAATACTATTACAGATTTTTAAACTGCATTGCTCTTTTAAAAGTGAAAAATTATATATAATCTAGACTCCCAATATTAGGGAAACAAAGACATTGTGACACATTAAGAATCTGTTTCGCTCATGCTAGAAAGTTAAACTAAAAAATTTGGCATAAAAAAGACAAATCCTGTATGTTATCACTTGTATGTGGAATCTAAAAAATAAAACAAATGAACGAGTATAACAAAACAGAAACAGACCCACAGATACAGAGAACAAGCTAGTGGTTAGTGGTTACCAGTAAGGGTGGGGGGTGGATGGCAAGATAGGGGTAGGGGAATAGGAAGTACAAACCACTAGGTATAGAATAAATAAGCTACAAGGAGATGTTGTACAGCACAGGGAACATAGCTAATATTTTACAATAACTTTTACATGGAGTATAATCTATAAAAACTTGGAATTCTTATGTTGTATGCGTGAAATTAATATTGTAAATCAACTGTACCTCAATTAAAAAAAACATCCTATTGAGAGCTAAACTAAAAAAAAGGGCATAAAAATTATATATATATATTTTTATATACGCCTGAAGGAAATATGTTAAAATATTAATGGTGTTTACCTCTAATTGTAGGGTACAGATGGCTTGTTTTCCTCTCATTTCTTTATTTTGTACATTTTCCACAATGGGTTCACATTATTTTTTATGGCTTTTTAAAATTGCAACCAAAATGCTTCTTTCTAAGCATTATTTATAACAAACAAAAAATTGGAAAACACCCTAAGTGTCTAGAAAGACAGAGACAATCATGATAAATGAACCAGAGCCACATGGTAGTTGAGGCAATTTCAAATCTATGCACGTGGGCACCTGCAAGTTCTATGCGTGTACATGTAAATTTGATATAACTATTCTCCATATTGAGAGAAAAACAGACTATAAAATTAAAATACTTGAGTAAATACAAGTGAGTAAATACAAAGTTGTGATTACAACTTTAAAAATGTTTTTCATACACAAAGAAGTAAATGTTTTGTGCTTTCCCCCCAAAAAGCATATCATAACTTAAAAATTTTATTTTTTCAAAAAAAAAAATACAAACTTTACTGTCCATTCAATTATAGTTATCAAGAGTGACAGTAACTTATGTGGACCTTTCTTATTACTTAGTAATAAGAATACATTATCCTAAGAACAATAATACTCATCATTTGCAATAATATTGCCTGTGTTTTATGCACACACCAGTTTCACAAAATGCTCCATGGAAAAAGGATTCTGTGGTCCATTTGGGAAAGGTTTCAAATTATAATTCCCTCTTAGAGACACACAGACGTTTCAGGGGATGGGGGACCTTGCTTAAATGAGCATTTCTCAGATTTGCTGAGACATGCTAATGAACTGTGTACCATTTTGTGACATTTCTTATTTTTATTATTTAACTACTGAATTTCTAACACTCCATCTATTACATGACTGATACATGAGGACGTTAATTCCTTAAAAACGTCTACCATGTCTCTCCTTCTAGACGGCAAGCAGCCTGAAAACATGCCCTCACAGACTTCTTTCCCTTCCAGCAGCACCGACAACATGGCTCCTCGGTTGCTACACAGCAGATACAACTGAAGCTTGAATGGAGTTTGAAAGAAAACCTTACCATCCATCACTGTCAGCAGCATTGACATTTACACCAAACTGTACCAGGAATTTAACAATTTCTGTGTGACCTGCACATACAGCATTGTGAAGAGCTGTGATGCCTTCATCGTTAGGCAGGCTTGGGTCATCCACCTGCAACGCCAATTAAGAAGAAGGGTAACCAATGGAAGGGGGAGGGAGGAATAGCTCAGTGGTAGAGTGCATGTTTAGCATGCACAAGGTCCTCAGTTCAATCCCCAGTACCCTCATTAAAAATAAATTTAAAAATAAACCTAATTACCTACCCTGCACTCGAAGTAAAAATTGAAAAAAAAAAAAATTAAAAAGAAAGAAGAGTGACCATCACTCAAATTTCTTGTCACCTGAACTGCCAACTATTAACTGGCTCTTGACATCAAGAGAACAGAAATAGATTCTTGAAGTATTTTTTTTAAATCATAATTAAAACCTACAGGAGCCAAGAACACTATACCAAGGACAATTCTAGGAATAAGACAGACATCAAGCAGGCACTCACTATAAAAAGATTTCTTAAAAGTTGAAGAAGTCCCAGAAACTATATCCTTACAGTCATTTTTGTTTATTTATCCTCCAACTTCCCACCACAAATTAGTGTCTAAGGGGAAGTCACACTTGCCGTGGAAAAGAAAAAAGGTCAACTAAAAATATTTTAAATAGCAGGCTTCTGAAAAGTAGAGACCACATCTGTAATTTAACACTGTAGAGTACAAATCCATACATGAGCACTTTTTAAAGGAGGGTCATGATCTCCCGGAGAACGAAAAGCACCCCCAGGGAAAGCTGAAACTCTGCACTATGGAAAGTTTAACAGCCACACCTTGAAAACAGCAAAGCCTGCTTAGGAGTATGATCAAGAGTTCCTCACAATAACCCCGCTTCCCCAAAAAAGAAAATAACTTAAAAGTACAATTTCTCTAAAGTAGCCTTCTGATTTGAGCTTTAAAACTAAATACAAGGCTGTATTTAAGAAATTCACTACTTCAATCGTACCTCATAAATGATTCTCTGTACAAGGTCAAATTCTCCCTCCAAAGAGGAATCTAGAAGTAAAGCAAGGGGGTTGAATTTCACCCTCATTCCGTGAGCAATCCGCTCCGAACCAGTTTTACGCAAGTTTGTCCTCTTGCCCTGCAGAAGAAATGCATGGAAAATCAAGGACCCTCGTCTAAGTAAAAGAAACCAAAATAACATCCCAGCAGAGTCAGTAAAAAGAACTTTAAAAATACATATGTTTAGCACATCTTATTAAAGTATAACATTATTCAGGAAAGTATATAAATCATAATACACAGCTTAGTGAATACACCCATGTAACAAAGTGGGAACAACTTAACAAAGTGGGAAGAACTTAATTTTTTAAAACCTAGTGAAGTTACATTTGGGTAACACTAAGCTAAGGGTACAGCCTGCAGTGGTAAGCAGGCTGGTTTTCTGTCAAGGATCAAAATTAGTCAAGACATACTTTTCCTTATTTTATTTCAGATGTGGAAAGCTACCGAGTTTTGAAAAACAGTAAGTTGGAATCAATGTACTGCACAAATGTGCACTGGCTAAAATGTTACTGTTGCTTGAAAAAAAGAAAAGTGTAAACATTACATGACTGGGATCAAAGAACTCATAAATAGTACAGTCATACCCACTTTCAAACAGAAGTAAGGAATAGTGGCTTCTATTTTACTTGAACTAAGAAGGAAAAAATGTATAAATCACTTTCCTGGGAAGAGAATGACAGAATCTTACATGTTTAACATGCAAAGAGAATCATGCCTTAAGACTTAGCAGCACAGAGTTGTTCAAAAAGTGTTAACCTCTATTTTAAAACTTTACCCCCCTAGATTTCAATGTTTACTATATAAAACTTCAAAGCAAATGCTGATTGTAACTAGTAGTTAAAGCAACTCTGGATCATCATTATCTTTGAATACTATCACATCCAAAAGATGCAATAAGGGATCAAACATGTAAGGCACTTTTTAAAAAAAACCCTTACACTATGCTATTTTGCTTTTGCCCAGGTTTTAAAAATTCAGGGCTTGCTATCCCACTGAAACAAAACAACCTCAAATTAAACTGAAAAAACTGACTTGAAAGGCATTCTGGGGTTTCAGTCTTCTCTCTCCGATTTCAAAGTGACATCACAAACTTTCAAAGAAAAGTTTAACATTTGGAAGGAGCGAGGAAGACATGCCCAAGTCAAAACATACGAAGCTTCAGAGTAACTTAACGTCAGAGCCCGAGGACACCTACGGGGTCGTCATTGCTACCCAGAGACTTCAGACCAGGCGAAGGTGAGGAAGCGGTGAAGAGGCGCCCGCCTACCTCTGCCCATCACCTCTCCCCGCCCCAGGCGTCCAGAACCCTCCCGCTGTTAGCAATGGTGCAAGTTTGAGGTTCCACCTAAACAGTACATTGAAAACAAACTTCACTGCTAGAAAAAGAGTTGAAAGAGTGAACCACCAGTGACAGAAGTTGAGCCATCTGCCTGATTTCGCAGAGCTACACTAGTGATCAGAAGGTCCAAATCCAGGTCTTTCATTGCCAGTCGAGTGCTGCCTCCTCACACATAACATCAGCTGCAGAAGAAATAGCGGACGTGGTGCTTACAGGTATAAGGACAAAACTGTTTCCTTCACAAAGAAATGGGTTCTTCCTAAAAAATTAAAATGTTCTTTACACAGAATATATTAAATTTTGATAACACTTATGAGATCCACTCTGTGCCAAGGGAATTGTAAAATAAAAGGCATGCCTCAGTACACGTTTGTTACCATAGGCAATTTTAACACAAACCCTCTTCTGCAAATGGCCGTGAGTCCTCGCTGGGGTTTCACTGAGTTACGACAATCAACCACCCAGAAGGCTGTGGCCAGAGAAACGGCTTATGCTGTGACCACAAGATACCACGTTACTTACAGGAGGCAGAGAAACCTGCCCGGTGATCTCAGGCGGACGCATGCTCACGGAGTCTTCTCCTGGGCCTTCTGGCTCCCCAGACGGGTATGGTGGGGGCGGGTAGGGGGGGTACTCCTCCAGGTACACTTCCAGCATAGGGGGAGCCTCTGGGTTTGGTTCTTCCAAGCTATTCTGGACATTGGGGCTGCTGTCTGGAACTCCTTCGGGGACATACTCAAGGCCCGGAGAAGGAGCTGGCACGTCACTGCTCTCCGTACTGGCACTTCCTAAGTCCTCTGGGGACACTGGCTCAGGAACCAGAGAGACCACCTCCTTCTCTGGCTCCACTTGTAAATACGGATTCTGGATTTCCACTGGGCTTTCTGGGCTGGCAGTCACAGAAGCGGCCTTGGGTGGGTATGCTGGGATGGAGATGGTCTCCATGGCAGCGATGGTGGTCCTCTGATACAGAAGTTTCTGAATATTCGGCCCATTGGGACCCTCTGGCTCTGTAATAGAGCTACGTTTCTTGAGCGGCCTTGGTGCATTAGACAGTTTCTTTCGGAGGGCTTCTAAGTCAGCATCACTCTGGTTTCGGTAAGGGTTAGATAGGAAAGGCAGTAGTTTGGTCGGGCTGAGTGGCCGAGGGATTCTTTCGTTTTCATGCGTCTCCTGAACTGAAGAAACGGGCTCAGGTTCAGGTTCCGGGCTGCCAGGTTTGCCCTGGTTATTGGAATAAATGTTCTCTGGGAGCTGCTGTTGGTTCTGGGCAGCAGCAATCACAGGCTTGCCATATACTAATTGGAATTAGGAAAAAAGGCCTGATTAGTATTAATTAAACAAAACTAGCCGATAACAAAGCTAACAACAATTAGAGCCTCTTTTAATTTCATATTTATTGCACAGTACCCTTCAGTACAACTAATTTTTAAAAATAACAGATGACAAAGCAAGGTTTCCACAGCTGCATAATAAACTCATTATAGAATGAAAATCCTGATTGTAAACAGGCACCATCACTCTACGTACCAATAGGAAAGAAAACGCTGTCAATGATAAGAAATCACTGAGCACAGCATCCATATTTAAAATGTGAAAAGAATTTAGAATCAGTGAAAACTGGCCCAGATGAAAACTAAATATGCACTATCCTACCCCTTCGCACTTTTCTAAAGTCAATCAATGTGAGAAAGCATCCGGCTTACAAAATTATCAGTAGCCACTTACATTTACCAAAACTATTCCCCTTAAATATTCTGATTCAATCATCATTATCTAATTCCCACATTATCGTATTAGCAGTTTTCACCAAAGACTCATGAAAAGAAACCAGTAAGATGTAGCGTATATACTAAGTCTCTGCCGTCTAATTACTTCCATGACATTTTAGGCCACAAGTACACCCTTATTTCATAACTAGAAGGCCATTTTCATTCAACTAAAACAGAGTGGATTTTAATCTAGTTTCATAAAACTGTTGACTCTTAAAAAGAACCCAGCAAATGACCAGGTTATGGACGTTTAATACAAAGTAATCTTTCTGCTTAGCTGTGTCCACATTAGAACAATTTAAGCTACAGCAGAGGGCACCATTTAAAAAAAAACAGACACAGAGTCGGTTGTCCAATCCTCTATACACCAAGAAACATCTGGCCCGACCTACAGCAGAGACGCGCACGGCCTTCTGTTCGCGTGGCGATCACTCTCCCCGACTCACCGAGGAGTGACCCATGAGCAGAAAACAAACTCGCACGGGTAATTCAACGCCAAAGGCTAGGTCTTCACTATAAGTTTTTCATCTATGTTATTCATTTATTATTTTCATGTTTGTTTCGTTTTATTCACATTTTGTCTTACTCACCTATTATCTTCAGCTGCTTGCAGCAGCTGACATTTAGCACAAACCCTATCAAACTCCCAGTTAGGAACAGAAGCCACAATTAAACAGAACTCTTAGACGAAAAGCACCAGCCGAAACAGGGAGAGGTCATTTTGCTGTTTCCTGAGAGACTGCAGCTCCGGTGTGGGACGTAAACACACTGACATGGGGGAGAGAGAGACCAAGAACCTTACCGCTCGGAAAGTGCGGCCCGCGGGAATGGGACTTGGTCAACGCGCTCTGCACGGCTTGCTGGAAGTTCTTCCCGGGGGCCTGGTGCTGGGTGTACATGGAGTATATTGAGCTGGCGGCCACGGTCTGGGGTTTCCTGAGGGGTGGAAGCAGGGTGTCCTTGGAAGGCTGAGGCGTGAAGGGCCGGACAGCGGCTGCAGGGGGACTTTCCTGCTTAGAACCTGGAGGAAGGGTTTGGTCTGCTTGGCCAACCGAAGGGACACTGGGGGACAACAGGACCCTCTGCTGCTGTCCTGCTGTTTTGGGTTTATTTCCCATGGATGCCACAGCTGCTGACGACTGCTGAGGATTTCCATCTGGCTTAATGTCTGGTGGTGACTGATTAGTTTGTCCAAAATAAGGCAAATTAATCTGTTTTGGTTTTGATGGAACAGGAGGTGGTACTTTAGCCACATTTTTATTTGCAGCCTGTAAACACACACACATAAAAGTAAAAAGCCGGTCAAAATACTGCATAACTGGGTACAAAAGATGTTCTAGATAACCTAAATTTCACAAATGTAAGTTCAGACTGAAAATACTAGCTCTACACTGTAAAATCATTTAAAAGTTTTAGGGGGTGGGTATAGCTCAAGTGGTAGACGGCATGCTTAGCATAAGGTCCTGGGTTCAATCCCCAGTACCTCTTCTAAAAAATAAATCTAATTTCCCCGCCAAAAAAAATAGTTTTAAATCTCTGAACTTATTACATGCAAAAGGGACTTCAGTAATGCAATACAATTCCCATCCTGAATGATTTCCTCCTTGCTGCCCCTTCCTATTTGGACAATTCCAAGTGCCCACTTGAAGACCTTTAACTGCCATGTTACATATTCATGGACAGCACCAGTAACCGGAACCATCCTCGTTCATCAGAACTTCATGCAATCTGGGCCACACAGTAAAAAAAAAAAAAAACAAAACCCAAACCTACTA